AAGATGGCAGAGATGGGGCCAGTCTGGCATCCTGTGGGAGGGACTTCTAAAGTCTAGAGCAGCCACAGAGAAGGCCCTTTCCTGTGTCTTCATCAGACGCACCTGTGAAGGTGGTGGAACTGTATCCCACGCTTTTTCTTCCCTCTCTCCCATTCCCTTTAAGGTGCTCTTTGCTTTGTTTAACTTCCTCTCCCAGGAAGTGTGCTGTCGAATTCAGAAGCTTCCTCGTGATTTTATCACCTTTTAGCAGCTCCTAGAAAAGGGACGTGGTGGCACTGCGGGCTAAACTGCAGAAGCCTGTGCTGCAGGGTCAGAAGACCAAGCAGTCGTAAGATCGAATCCACGCGACGGAGTGAGTGCCCGTTGCTTGTCCCAGCTCCCACTCTGGCATCCTGTGGGAGGGAGTTCTAGAGTCCGGGAGTAGCCACAGAGAAGGCCCTTTCCTGTGTCCCCATCAGACGCACCTGTGAAGGTGGTGGAGCTGTATCCCACGCTTTTTCTTCCCTCTCTTCCATTCCCTTTAAGGTGCTCTTTGCTTTGCTTAACTTCCTCTCCCAGGAAGTGTGCTGTCGAATTCAGAAGCTTCCTCGTGATTTTATCGCCTTTTAGCGGCTCCTAGTGAACAGTGGCTCCTGAGGGACACAACGACCCATAATTTCCTTCTCCTTTTCATTATTGAAGGACACAGTGGCTTCTGAACTGCACAATGGGTGTCATTTCTAGGGATGAGGAAGCGGGTAGTGAGACTTGCTGTCAAGTTGGACTGAAGTCGCACTGGCGGCTCAACTCGGGCTCAATTTGGGTCCCCCCCCCCAATTACTTGGACTCAACTTGTACCTAGTGGACAGTGGCTCCTGAGGGACACAACGACCCATAATTTCCTTCTCCTTTTCATTATTGAAGGACACAGTGGCTTCTGAACTGCACAATGGGTGTCATTTCTAGGGATGAGGAAGCGGGTAGTGAGACTTGCTGTCAAGTTGGACTGAAGTCGCACTGGCGGCTCAACTCGGGCTCAATTTGGGTCCCCCCCCCCAATTACTTGGACTCAACTTGTAACTCAAAACTCACCCACCCACTCCTTTTTTTTCTGAGGGGGAGCTTTTTTTTAATAGGGACTCAGACACTGGGACCAAAAACCTAGGCTTTGGTTTAGGACTTCGACTTGCCAGCATCCCTGGTCATTTCTGTCCAAAAATTTAGGCTTTGGTTTGGGACTTGGACTTGCCAGCATCCCTGGTCATTTCTGTCTAAAATAGCTACAGAGTAGGGCTCTGGAGGGAACACAAACTAAACAACCCCCAGGCACACTACAATTTTATTTCTCTGCATGGAGAGCTATAATATTTGAATCTACCGAGAATTCAAAGAGCATGAGCTAGGGATAGTTCATTTCCACCCCACAGATGAGGTACAATTTTTCCAGATCCCGAATTCAGGGTCAGTTACTGTTAAATAGTCCTTTTCAACTGAGATTAAATAATGGATTTAGAGTTGGATTCTTTAGGCCCAAATCTGAATATGTCTTCAGTCTTGTAAGATGACCTATTCATTAATTATGATAATGTCTGCCATTTTAGAATGTCGGTAGTCAAATACGTAGTCTAATTCCACATAAATAAGCTAGCATGTGCACTTTAAAACCTATTCTAGATTATCAACTCTTCACATTTGCTCCCTTTTCAACTTCCAAGGTTTGGGTAGCTCTGCTCATTCAAAGCCAATTTCAAATACATCCCCTCATATCAAAAGATCAATTTACAGCCGCAGCATGCAAAATGTACCTTTCCAAATGCTGCTGGACTTCAACTCACAGTATACAATAACAAGACTCCCTTGAAAAGACGCTGATGTTAGGAATGTGTGAAGGCAAGAGGAGAAGAGGACGACAGAGGATGAGATGGTTGGACAGTGTCATTGAAGCGACCAACATGACTTTGACCCAACTCTGGGAGGCAGTGGAAGACAGGAGGGCCTGGCGTGCTCTGGTCCATGAGGTCACAAAGAGTCAGACATGACTGAACAACTGAACAACAACAACACAGTGACTAAAGCTGATCAGAGGTGCAGCCCAACCACCTCTAGAAGTCCACGTTTTGCCCATTTTCAATGTACAGTGTGACAGATCCTGGTCTGTGTCTCCTTAGAAGCAAGTTACATTGCATTCAGTCCAGCTTACTCAATGGTAAGGATTTCAACCTTAACAAGTTTAAACTGGATGGTGAATTCATTTATTCATATCAGATTGTGGGTGATGATCCTGCAGGAATCCTATGCCCCTCTAGCAGATCTTGTAAGCTACAGACTGAATAGCAGCCTACAGATTGTCTACTTATCTGGTGACTGGGATTTTTATCCTTTTCTACTTCTTTTGCAGACTGGGGCACAAGTCTCTTTTATGACCGCCGAGGATCCGTTCCTGTTGGGACAATAGCCACTGAAAACACATTGCTCGTGCAAGCACATCATAAATAACTGTGCTTGAAAAAGATACCAAGGCATCTTAGTGAATTATACTACAATTATGGGGGAGGGGGGAGAGAATAACATTGAGATCTTGCTTGCTTGAGTTTCTTTAGCAAACATGGGCTTGCAGTCCTTCAAATAAATATATTTCCAATAGATGGTTGATGAAAAGGATGAGAAAATTTCTTTAGTTTGTGGTTATGTTGGTGGGGGGGAGCTGAACTAACATTTGGAAAGGATACTGAGAGTGGATTAATCAGAAGGAAGCAGGAGGTCAAGAATAAATAAACGGAAAAGAGCTAAACAGTTTCAGAAAGGATCCAGCTACTTAATGGACGCTGTGAACTTGCATGAAGAAGTGTGAAATTTTCAGTACAGTTCAAGCTGAAATGAATAGGAGCTCTCATTTCCAAAGTCAAATACCGTCTGTGGATATAAAACAGTTCATTTATTAGTCCAAGTGTTCCTGTTGTGGCAAGTCCTGGAAACGCATTCTCTTTCTCCTGAGGTTTTTCTTCATAAGAAGGAAGTTCTGGAGGGCAACCTAGAGAATTATAGGTAAATATGCTTAGGAGATGATTACATGTATCCTATGAGACATGGCATGGATTACGCCTAGAGTGGTCCTCTAGATAGGCGGGATATAAATAAAATAAACGAGACATGGCATGGATTATACAGTTTATCTTGTAGTAATCTAATGAATTAATAATATATGTTCTCCAAGTTCTGCACCCCGTTTTTTTTTTACCAGCAGACTGGCAATTATTAACACCATGGGACCAACAAACAGGAGACAAAGGGAAACTTCTGCTTCCATTTCCCTCAGCATCTGTCATTTTGAAATATATTGTCCTTGAACAAGTATGTATTTATTCATTCATTTGTTTATTAACCTTATACCCCACACAACTAGTGGCAAGCCACTACTCTGGGTGTGTACACAAAATTAAATGAGCATACAGAAACAAAGTTAAAAGCAATAATTGTAAGAAGAAAAAAATCAATCTAACCAAAACCCCATTATCTAATTAGCATTACCCAAGTCTCAAGATGGCAGAAATAAGAGTGGGTAACTGAACACTAAACAGTAAAAAAATACAAAAAAACCACCCCCGAAACCCCAAATCAATCCAGGGTCATCACAGAGATACTGAGAAAATTAAATTAAAGAGAATCAGAGCATTAAAAAAAGCTTGGGTAAAAAGTCATATTTTGATTTGTTTCCTAAAGCTAAAGAGGGTGGAGGCTTGGTGCACCTTTACTGGAAGGGAGTTCCATAGTGAGGTAGCCACTACTGAGAAGGTCCGGTTCTTGGTTGAAGATTTCTCGGTCTCCCTTGGAATGGCCAGCTGCAACATCAAAGATTGGGAGGGGCAGGAGGTAGGTCGACCTGAAGGAGAGGCATTGTGCCAGGTAGCAAGATTCTGAACCATACAGGACTTTATGAGTTAACATAATCGTCTTGAATTTGGTCCAGAAGCATAATGGCAGCCAGTACAAACAGGCCAGTACAGGCGAGAGAGGGTCACATTTTACATATTTGTGACCAACCAGGCCACTGCACTTTGTACCTTCCAAACTGCTTTGAAGGGCAGCCCCACAAGAGCATTGCAATAGTCAACCCTCAAGATTACAAATGCATAAACCAGGGTTATTAGGGACCTTCTTTGGAGAAAGAGTAGCCTTCCATTTGGTTGCCCTTTTCCAAGCACCCTGATTCCATCATTTTGTGCACTGCATTGTTTGGGCTGTATCACTCCTAACTTTGAAGTGGCATTAGTCTAGGACAACCATTCTCAACCTTGAATAACTCAGGTGTACTTGGACTGCAAATCTCAGAAACCCTGGCCATCACAGCCAATGCTGAAGGCTTCTGAGAGATGCAGTTCAAGAACACCTAGATTACCCAAGGTTGGGAACCATTGATCTAGAATACATAGGCATCCTTCAGTCTCAAGAAACTATGGTAACATGCTCTGAATCAAGGAGTGGCCTCTGCAGAGCATGAAGCCTGGGTAAAGTAATATGGAGGATAGGCTGTTACCCAAGCAGCAGATCCCCCCTCTCCACGTTGCTGAAATGGTCCAATGGAAAGGCAAGAGCCAATACAACTGGTTCCACCAACGTCACAGGAGTTAGCAGAATGGCACGAACTGCCTTCGGGACTCCAGCTCCGGATTTTGCCTCTAGGTTAACTCCTAAAGCCTTTTCCATCAGTGGATATAGCCACAAGGCAGTGGAGGTTTGAAATTAGAGTTTTCCTTCTCCTAGACGGGCTGCCTTCCAAGGCTGCCGAGCCCCACCTACCTGGCCTGCTCTTTAATAGTGCGGAAGTATGGTCCAAGCGGAAGTATGATCCAAGGATACCCTTTCTGCTAACTTCATTTTGAGGCTGATCATTCAAGTTAGCACCCTGCATATAAACATATTTGTGTGTGTGTGTGTGTGTAGGGAGGTGGTCTCCTGCACAATTCTGCATTACCTTCTTCACAGTTTGGTCCCATCCATTTGTGCAGACAACTGCATCTCCTATTCCGTGCACTGCATTGTAATTCATTGGCACATTGGCATTGCTGAGCTCAACCAGGGCCATATTTGTCAGGTCTGCACTCTGGAAGGAAAACACACACATATATAGTAACCCAGAACAGGTGTTTTTTTTAATTCCATGGCTTTAATCTTCTTTCTTACCCAAAGAGGAGCTTTAAATCAGAGCAAAAGGAAAGAGGAAAAACAAGAAAGAATGCTAGAAAATAATATTTGAACTGTCTCTTCAATTAGTCAGCATTTTAAAAGCATTTGAGTAATCTAGGTGCTTTTCAACCAATTAAGCAAATGATTAATTTTAAAGATCCGGTTTATAATAAAGAAATTGGTAGCATCCTCACTAGAGGCTTGTAATGTGGTTGGATTTTACCTGTTGAACCACCCAGAATAATGCTTTTGCACTAATAGGTCAGTAGATGGATGCATGGATGGATGGATGGATGGATGGATGGCTGGATGGATGGATGGAGGATGGATGGATGGATGGATGGATGGATGGATGGATGGATGGATGGATGGATGGATGGATGGATGGATGGATGGATGGATTGTAGGCATCCTTCAGTCACAAGAGATTATGGTAACGTGCTCTAAATAGCGGTCTTGGAACAGCGTCTAGTGTGGCTGAGAAGGCCAATTCAAGAGGGACAATCTCTTCCACACTGAAGACAAATACAATCTGTCCCCTGTCCAGCTCCCTGAATTTGCTGGTTTCGGGACTGCCTCTTTGCCTTGGCCTGCTGGACAAATGTCTCTTCAAATTGAGAGAGGCTATGATGCACCACCAGCCTCCAGGCTGAATGCTCAGATGTCAAGGTTTCCCATCTGTCGAGGTCCATTCCTAAGGCCTTCAGATCCTGCTTGCAGGTATCCTTGTATCACAGCTGTGGTCTCCCTCTGGGGAGATTTCTCTGCACTAATTCTCCTGACAGGAGATCTTTTAGAATCCAGCCGTCAGCCATTCTCATGATATGCCCAAGCCAACATATAAATAAACAAACATATAAATAAATAAAGGCTCAGACATCTTTTCTAAGGGCCTATCTCTTTAGATGTGCTAGACTACAGTTTCCTCAGGCAGCATTCTATTCTAACACTTTTGCCGAGGCAACAGATTGAAGAAGACTGTGGTAGAGGAACTTGGTCTAAAAGTCATAAATACAATGCTTTGAGCTCAGGACTGTCTCTTACTATTGACTTTTTCCTTTACTGTCAGGAAGAAAACAAAAAGTAAAGTTACTGAAGTGAGATCTGTCTGCCAACTTCAGGCAGAAAATAAAGTTCTATATAAATAAATTTGGTACCAATTATGAAATAGAAAAGAGAGGGCCTGTGCATCAGACCTGCATAGCAGAATCCCCCCCCAGGGGCCCCTCATCTTGTCAGCTTCCCCAATTAATTGGGGAGGAAGTTTAATCTACTATTAAAGGCTTAGTTGTGCCATCACAGATATAGATCAATTCACTGCTTGCTGCTCAGATTCCAAAAGCAGCATTAGAGAAACAGAAGTGTTTCAGTTGAGTCAGGATCTGAATCAAGGCGTCCTAGGTCCTACCTCAATATGTTTGACCCATAATACTACTGGATTTTATTGCAGGAGCAGTGTTAAGTGTTAACAAAGCCAATGGACAAGGAATAGGCTTAGGGAAATATACCCAGAGGCATATAAATGTGGAGCTATGAAAGAGGAATGCCAGTCTTCCAGCATAGCCTGCTCTGGCATGACGAATCATGATGACAGGAGATTTCTTTGCTAGATTCAATAGGAAGTAGTTAATTAGCAAACGGCCATTGTGTTTATCACAGTTTTCTCTGGCATCATCTTTGACACATCTAGGAGAAGGAAAACTCCGATTTCAAACCTCCACTGCCTTGTGGCTATATCCACTCATGGAAAAGGCTTCAAGAGTTTTGACCCATAATACTACTGGATTTTATTGCAGGAGCAGTGTTAAGTGTTAACAAAGCCAATGGACAAGGAATAGGCTTAGGGAAATATACCCAGAGGCATATAAATGTGGAGCTATGAAAGAGGAATGCCAGTCTTCCAGCATAGCCTGCTCTGGCATGACGAATCATGATGACAGGAGATTTCTTTGCTAGATTCAATAGGAAGTAGTTAATTAGCAAACGGAACGGCCATTTATCACAGTTATCTCTGGCATCATCTTTGACACAAAACGTGGCATGCTAGAATTGGACTACAGGCACTCCGCTTAAGATCTCTTCAACAACACATGGAGTTCTTAATCACAGGGGCCAATTTTGAATGTATTCATCCATCCAGCAAAAAGCCATCAGTGGGTGGATCGCACATGTATTGCCAGGGAGCATGTGATTTGACACAAAATGTGGTATGCTAGAGTTGGACTACAGGCACTCCGCTTAAGCTCTCTTCAACAACACATGGAGTTCTTAATCACAGGGGCCAATTTTGAATGTATTCTTCCATCCAGCAACAAGCCATCAGTGGGTGGATCGCACATGTATTGCCAGGGAGCATGTGACGTAGAAAGGAGACTTGCATTCGGTAAAAACCTACAGAATGTCACATATTACCAATATCTATTACAATCGATCTAAGTATCTAATATAGTTGTTTCTTCCCTAGAAAAAACACTTGCCCATTGTACTGGGATAAGCTTTCTCTCATGGTTAGTTAAAAAGAAAAAGGCAAGAGAGATTCAGGAAGGTCTTGCTGGTAATATAAAATCTCGCAATGAACCTCACTGACCAAACCTGTGTGGCCTTTCAGCTCCGTTTGGCATTCCCCAAGCTTGGCACCTTAAGTAACCACCCAAATTCTCAGTTTCTAAGGCTGGCTGTGTGCCCACCATTTGGCAATATTGCTCTCAGGTTAAAGAAACAAAACCTCAGCCTCAAACCAGTTAAAACCAGAAAGCAATGTATGACAAATAAACAAGGTCAATCAAAAAAAAAGAAAAGTTGCAGAAGCTGTAAGGCATAAAAGCGTCACAGTGGAGTAGTAAAATGGCCTTTTAAATGGCTTGGGAGAACAGACGGAACATTGTCTGGTGCTTAAAAAACCTAGAAATGGATGTCAAGTGAGCCATTTAAGGAAAAGCATTCCATAAATGGGCCACCACAGCTAGGAAGGTTCTCTTCCTGGCTCACAAGAAGGTAATCCTTGGAAGAAGAAGAACCAAATTAACAATAACTGGTGCACTAACAAGTCTGTATAGTGCTTTGTTTCTTGAATGAATATCACAGTGGCTTAGAATTGTGAGCACAGAGTCTCTACTGTAGCTTTTATTAGTGATTCCTTGCATATAGAATGGGAGGGTTTTCAGAGTGTACGTTAATAATGATTTTCTTTTTCTACCTCTCCTCATCTTGCCATAGATACTTTCACCTGGACTGTAGTAAACAAAAGATCTTTTCTCTTCCCCATCTCAGCTATTATGTAAGAAAGAATGATTCACTGGCTAGCTAGTATTACCACCCCATGTGTGAGAGAATTCTTTAGTGAGGTACAGACACTTTAGCTCTTTCAATTAAGGAAACGTTATGAGACAGGCTCATGCAAACACCTCAGGGCCTGATTTTAATTTAAGTAATAACCACATTTTCATGTTCATAACAATGTGAATTTTAGACATCTGTTTGAAAGTCTGCAATGTTAATTTAGTGGGGGGGGAGGCAACCCAATAAAAATGTGCTACATATTCTCTTGCTTTTTTTAAAATTAACATTATAGTTGTTTAATGGGTGCTTTACCAGAGTTCAAATTAAAATCAGCCCTTTTATCTTTATAGCTGCTGCGCAGCCACAGCTGCTTATGGTTATGTCACAGATGAACTGGGCCTAATTGAAAATAAAAATGCAAATAAAACCAGCCCCATAACAGCTTTGTAAGCTTTGGGGCTTGCACTGGCTGTTTAGAAGAAAATAAAAGTGACTTCTATTCTTTCTCTCTTTCCCACTTTCAATCTCTCACTCCTCCCCTTCCCCCACTTTTTCCCCCCAAGGAGTGGAAAATATTGCTCATATATTGCTTTTTTAAGAATATATATACTGTATATATGGGTGAGCTTCCCCCTTGTATTCTCCAGTTGTCTAAATACAAATAAGAAAGATGTGTATCTGGAAAAGCTATCTCAATTTATGTGGCCTTACTCACTTGTAATGTGTGCTCCTCCCATTGAAACCACAAGCACTGAAAAATGGAGTGAGCTGGAATCCTGACCACAGAGCTGAGCAAGCTAGGAAGAGAGTCATTTCCTTTTTTTTTTTTTTTAAGTCCAGGGCTTCACCAGCTTCTTGCTTCCAACATTCTGGGGCACCTCATTCATACTGGCTGCACTTAAAGCCATTTTGCTTCTACTCTGGATTGCAGAGCTTGAACTTGTGAGCAGCTGACTACTTCCATTTCTTTATAGTCAGGCTGGTTTCATGCAGGTTCATTCATTCCAGCAGAGAGCATTGGAGTTTACAGCCAGTGTAAACCATAATTGACATCTAAAGCTCACAATGCCTTGAAGTATCAGGAGCTCTGAAGTTTTCCTCAGGGAACTAACGGTTCTCTGACTATAGCTATTGTCAGAGAAAATGTGGGAAGGAGAGTAGATCATAATTAGGGAGCAGGGCAGGAAGAGAAAAGAAAGATGCCCTTAAAGTAGGGGTGGGAAATCTTGAAGAGGCCAAGGTCCACTTTTTCAGATTTGCAATCCAATGACTCCTTTCCCAACATGAGCAATGGGGAGGCCGAGGTGTGCTGTAAAAGCCCCCCAGGACTGCATCTCAGCCACCCTTGAAGGCTGCATATCAGCCACCCTTGCCTACTCCTTTCCCACCATGAGCAATGGGGAGGCCTAGGTGTGCTGTAAAAGCCCCCCCCCCCGGACTGCATGCAGCTTGAAGGCTGCATATCAGCCACCCTTGCCTTAGAGCCCATTGTGATAGCACAATTGTGAATATATTTAGACATTTATGCTGGGGTTTATTTGCTTGCTTGTTTTAATTGGGTGAATGGCTATTTTGATGTCCGCCAGTGACCTGGCAGAGCAAGGCACTTTCTCTGTTGGGTTCATCATATGGCAACCTAAATAAAAATGTATTAGCATTCTTACCTGTCTACTACAACTTAGCTAGTTCTGAAAAACGGAGCGGCTTGGCCAGGAGAAATGCAGTGTAGAGTAGAATTGCCTAGGTTAAAAAAGGGGGGGAAATCTCTTAAAAAATTGTGGGCTTATCTGTATGAGCAATGTCCAACCCTCATGTTGAAGCTTAGTTTGAGCACTGTGCAGGACAGCAGTCCTGCTAGCATTGGCTAAACAGCTGAGATTACCACCACCAGCATTTTGTAGGAATAACATTAGATGAGAGAATACTATCACTCCAAACCCATTGTTTGAGATAAAGGATATGGCAGCATTGGACCAGTGGTAAGCAAGATCGTCCCACAAATAAACAGCCAAGAACAGAAAGAAATGTTATGGGTGCCATTAACTCTTCCTGTGCCCTAATATATTTGGCAATTTTATCCCATTCCCTTGGGAAACTGCTGACAATACCACTACCTTCTCTTGCATCTGCAGAACTAGTCTATTTAGCGAATTCCTTGCAGATTTTTTAAAATCATGAACTAGTTTTATATATGCAAAACTAAGCAATGAAAATCTGCCCTTAGGCTTCTGAAAAATCTAAAAACTACCTCTTCCCTTACCTTTACCTATAAAGACCCAATAAAGACACCATGTGCAACTGTATATTCTTTATATCCCATCAACAATTCCAACCTCCTCTCCAATAAACTAGCAAAGCTTTCATAAGTTTATTTTGAATTTAGACAGAGCAGATGGGAATAAAGAACACTCACTATGTCTCTACATTTCAAAAATACTTGCCTTTAGTAAATAGCACAGAGTTCAGTCCACCATTCTAGGAACACAGTAACCTTTAAGCATTTTAATGTCTTCAGCTAGATGTTCTGTGCAGTTCCTCGTTCACCTTTCCATGCATACTTAGAAAGCAGAAAATGACCTGATATATATGCACAGTACAGTGCAGTGAGACTATGATAAAAATGTCTTGAGGAGGTGCAATGTGTTGTACTACTGTAGACTATCAGTGGAATACAGTACTGCATTTTAATGCTTCCCAATCCAACAAGGGATAACTTTTATTTTTCTCCTTGTGGGTGCAAAAAGTAGCTACAATGAGTCATTTTAAGTAGGAAAGTGTTTGGATGGAACAATATTAAGGATCCTCTTCTTGTTGTTTGTTCACCCCTTAAATTAACAGCTTTTACAGCTGCCATGTGGATTGTGTTATTTTACTGTTTGGTCACTAGGTGGCACTGGGCTTAGTTTTGTATTGGCAGAGTCAGAAGTTCCTATTTTGGGGAAAAGATAATAAATGTCTTTTGGGGCTTTTTGGCAGGTGCATTTTCTAGACATATTCACACATTTCATGAGAATGAAAAATTTCAATTTTTTTCTTTGCTGGGTAGTATTACAAGAATTTTTGTGCCTATCTCATGTTGTAGCACTTTTTTTGAAAAATATTCACAAAAGTAATTTTTGCTTAAAAATGTATTTTACCCAAAAAGTATGTTTTGTTCAAAATACAGATTTATTCACAGCAAGGAGTGTTTTGCACAAAATGACACACAATCTCCACTTTTTCTGTTAACATTGCAGCTGGCAACAAAGGATTGAAAACTCATTCAGTGGTTTACCATTTTCTCAGCAGGATGTCTTGATATGGCAAGATACTGTTTTCGTTGAGGGCAGGGATATTTGTGAGTATTTGTTGTGCTCTTTAAACAGTAACCTTATATAAGATTTGCCTTTAATTAAAAATTAAAACTTGCCCGGACACTGTCACATATGACCAGGAAATTGGAAAACAAGAAAAAGAAAAAGGTCTCTGTTTTTCCATAAACTTACCAACTTCACACCTGTCTCCAGTTCTTCCAGATGAGCAAAGGCATTTTCCAGAGACTGAATCACACTGAGCTGATCCTTCGCATTCGCACTGATACTGAGAATTTACACCGAATATTCCAGGAGGGCAACCTAAAAAAAATTGGTAGGAAGACTTAAGTAATAATAGAGTTCTCTTTTAAGAAAGCCAATGCAAGAGACAGAAAGACCAAAAGAGACCAAAGAAATAGGTAAGAAAAAATATTGTACATTATTTCTATTGTAATAAAGAAAATATAATGTTATTAAATAATACTCCTTAAAATAATATTTATTTAATAATGCTGTCTGTTACTAGAGGTGATGATACATACTGTTTCCCATGTTCAAAAATTATATGCCATGGCCACAAGGTATTTGAACATAAGGAATTTTTGAACAGAGCTAAAATGGTGCTCAAATAGAAATTTGGTCTGTGCTTACTTTTTTCACATGTCATGCCTTGGAAACCTGGAGGACAAACGCACTGCCCAGTTGCTGCATGGCACATTGCTCCATTTTCACAATTGCATGGGTATTGGTAATTAAGACCATAAAATCCAGGGGGGCACTCTGAGAAACAAAATATTTACATTATATCAGCAGATTACAATAACCATTGTAACCATAAAGTTGTGTCAGCCCTCAACAGTTCCCAGAAAAAAACATAACATGCTGGAAGACAAAGTCTCATGCTGTTTCCTCCATCAAGCTCTCTAGAAACACAAACTCTCTTAAGTTAGATGTAAAAGAAGTCAGACAGGAGATCTGGCAAGGGCCAAGGTTGAGGTACAAGGGATCGTTTCTTAATGTTTAGAAAAAAAATGTCCCAAACACCACAAAGTCAAAACACCAGACACAGAAGAGGATGAGAGGACAATGAGAGGACAAAGCTGGGGTATCAGCTAGATGGACCTTCCAGTCTTCTAAGCTATGCATAACTTTGAAGATGCCTGCACACATCCATCAGTATTTTCTCTGCTTGACAGCCAAACACAACGTGAAATGAAAATTCTGTCTATGGTTGTTTGATTTATGATAAGATAAATCACTTTCTTAATTGCTGCAATGGCTGAATGATGAACTATGGTCTGCCACTACTTGAGAAGAGAAGTGACATGTTCAAAAGCAAATGATGTTAAAGTAGATAGGAAAACTGGGGGGTGAGATTGGAAGGGAAGGTTAAGGAGACCTTATGGCTTCTCTACACCACTTTTACTGGAGAGAACTACACCCATCAAGGCTGTCACAAAGGGTATTCCTTTGACGAGTTCTTTCCTTCTCCTCACTTTTCCATAATGGATAGGAAAACATACCTTGTTATTTTTCTGACACTGAGCATTTTCCTGCCCCCAAAATGATTTGGATTTGGGGCTCAGAACTGCACAGGACAATGATATCACAACATATTCTGTCAGAATATGCCACTAGGAAGTTGCTTCTGGTACCTACCCTAAGTCACATGGTTCTTGCAATGATGTCACCAAGTTCAGGCTTTGGTGTATGTTCTTGGGTCTCTTGGTGGGTTACTTACCATGTTCGCAGGAATGTCCATAATAACCTTCTGTGCACTGGCAGCAGCCAGTAAATCTGTTGCAAATTCCATTATTCTGACAAGCACAGTCTAGCTGACAGTCAGAGCCATATTTTCCCAGGGCATATTCTGGAGAAAGAAGTTCAGAAAGACTCTTATTTATTCCAAAAATATGAACAAGACTTTTTCAATACAGAAGTCATAAGGAAACAAGATCTGCAAAATGTTTATGGATTCCCATTCTGTTATGTACTAGAACAGGGGTACGAACCAGGACATTTAAGGGTACGTGTGAAAAAAATGGCTGGAAAAGGCATATATGCCAACAGTGTAAGTCGCTTATTTATATCTTGAGCAGTGAGAAATGCCTCAGCTTCTTCCTTCTCTCCCCACCTACCACTTTAGAGCCCAACCGATCAGTTTTCACTCCAGGGCAGTGTCCATTCTTGTTCCACCACTCACCCAGGGGTGAACAAAATGGAACAAAATTATTTATGGATTTTAATCCTTTGGGTGGCTGGTGTGCTCGGAAATGCTACTAGAAGCGATGAAGAAGCGTCCTGCAGACAAGAGGGTAGAGTCCTGAGCCACAGCTACTGAAGGATGGTCACCTTGATCATCCTGCCAAGTTATTGATGACAATTGTATGCATGTTGTGACAATGTATGTGAGAATGGTCGTCTCTAGCCGTCCCAGTGAAGGGAGATGGAAGGTGACAGAACCTTTTTCACAGTAACTTCCTGTCCAACCAAGTCCACAAGTACATGTCATGTTTGCAGGATCATAGATACCTCCGTTCTTACACATGCATGTTAGCCGACAGTGAGGCTCATATCTTCCCTGAGGACACACTATAGTAAATTAGTAAATTAACCATATGTTTTAATAGAAAAAACAATGCATAACAAACAAATATTGATGTCATTGAAACTCACTTTGTAATGCTATAAATGTGATATAGTACTAAAGGCACTGGATTATTTATTTATTTATCTATCTATCTATTTATTTATCTATCTATCTATCTATCGATTTATTTATTTATTTATTATTTACTTACTTACTTACTTACTTACTTTAATTTAACTTATATGCCGCCCACACTACCCAAAGGTCTCTGGGGGTCTTACAACAATTAAAATGCAATTAAAAAGATAAAACAATTAAAATATAATTAAAATATATACTCTAAAAATTGCAATCAGGACCCACAGTTGATATTATTTCAATTAAAAGCCTTCTGGAACAGGAAAGTTTTGACCTGGCGCCGAAATGTCATCAGCGTCAGCACCAGAGAAATCTCAATTGGGATGGTGTTCCATAGTCTGGGAGCAGCTGCCGAAAAGGCCCTTTGTCTACAACCCATCTGTCTTACCTCCTTGAGGGACGGCTCTTTCAAAAGGCCCCACGAGCTAGATCTTAACTGCTGGGTAGGTTCATATGGAAGGAGGCGGTCCTTCAGGTATCCAGGGCCCAAGCCATTTAGAAACTATTGGTTTGCTCCACAGGTAACAAGGCCATTTTACACCACAATAACTCCACAGCTTCTTTATATGATGAAGTCCAAATTTTCTAGTGCAGTTTAGATGCAGAAGTATCTCAAGCTGCCTTTAATGAGCAAGTGGAATCAGCGCTCTCAGGATCTAAACAGCAGGAACGATGACATCATTTGCTACCCTCTCAGACTAATCTGAGCTTAGCTGCTGTCCTCACAGTAGATGGGAAAGAAATGGATTTTCCCAGAAACAGTATTTTGGTGCAAGCTATCTATCCTATAATGCAATGTATTTGTTGGTGGTTTGGTATTTGGTACTGTCCTCTAAGGGCATGACATTGAGAAAGAGTAGTGTTTATAATAATAGTGAACTAGGTGGATCGTTGATCTCTCCAGTGGTGTGATGGTTCATTTGGAAGCGCTGGTGCTCCTCATGACTGTCTTCACAGCCAGCTCCACTCTAGTGAAACTGCTCTTCAGTGAACAGAAAGTACCAGGGCAAGTGGCTCCTGAGGACTTGCCCAAACCCATCCAAGTCAGCCACAGAAGACTCTGAATCAGTTATTCCACATTCAACTGAAACACTCTAGATGTGTAGTTCTGAACCTCCTTTCTGTAGGCCACCACATGACCATGGATGCCTTCTGTGGACCGCTGTGTAAGCAAGCCATTTAAAAAATCTTTAACATCCTCCACAGCTAACAGGGATGTAACCACCTTCCTGTTACTTTGATAAATAGTATCATGTTGCAGATCAGGTTTGACATTTAGTACCGAGTACTTAGGAAACAAAATGAGAGACATTACCACAGGGCCTTTTCTTTATATACTCTCTCTCTCTCTCTCTCTCTCTCTTTCTCTCTCTCTCTCTCTCTGGGCCTCCATCCAATGCCTGAAAGTCTACATGTGACTGTTTCTCGGAAAAGTAAAAGTGATTAAAGTTGAATGTCAATGTCTGCAACCGTAACACTTCAGGAAGTCTACTTCGTCATGACCTGCCCATGGGCCCCCCAATACGCAACTAATTAGCCACTATGTAAAACAGGATTCTAGACTCAGTGGGTCTTTGGTCTCATCCAGCAGGACTCTTCTTATATTCCTATGCACTTACATTTACTACAGTCTGCTCCAATGAACCCAGGAGGACAGTCACATGCTTCTGTCACCACATCACAATGTCTTCCATTCAGACACCTGCAGGTCTTCTGGCAGTGTGGGCCATATGTAACTTCTGGGCAGCCTGTTGAGATCAAAAAAAGAGGAGCTTGTCAAGGTGACCATCTCATATATGGATGGCAGACACCGATCTATCCCAATCAAATAAAAAGCAAAGGGATTAGCAGCACAGGAAGGTTATGGCAGTGTGATCTTTGGAAGGTTTATCTTCTTGTAGCTGTCTTACCCAATCACTTTCCTCTCAACCAGCTTTAAGATTTCATTTGCTAACCCTTTCACCAAATGACGATTCCATTTGAATAAATGTCCTTTCTCCTGTGGCCATATTATCTTTTTGTATTTCCCAACTGAGAATGTTTGGGCATGCTGAGAGACTGCCAGCATAATCACCAAATTAAATGATTTATCATCAGAACGGCTTAATTACAAATATCAGGTCATCAGCAACGGGGTAATAAAATATGGGTGAGGAAGGGTTTTGCTCTTGACATGATTGAAGCAACCAGTTATGACACACTGTTTAAAGTTTTTTGGTTTATTTATTTATGTATTTATTTTATATCCCGCCTATCTGGTCGTGTGAGGACCACTCTAGGCGGCTAACAACATAAAACATAATACAAAAAATATACATATAAAACAATTTTACATTACCAAAAATACTGAAATAGAATGGGAAAGGTGTGGGAAAGGGGAAAAAAGAGGGCGTCAGGAATTATCTGATGGGAAGGCCTGCCTAAACATCCATGTTTTTAATTGATTCTTGAAAATACGCAGCGAGGGAGCCGCGTGAATCTCAGGAGGTAGGTTGTTCCAGAGGCGAGGAGCCACCACCGAGAAGGCCTGATTTCTTGTTTTTTCCTCCCAGGCCTCCATTTATTGTGGTTAGACTCCACCATCCTAATATCCTCTAAGTACTGCTAGACCCACCTGTCTTAATTAAACAGGACCTTTCTGTCTCTTCTACAAGGCTTTGTAAAAGATGCGCTACACATTGTAGATGTTTCAAAATGCAGTTATATCCAGATGTGCATCTATATACTAAATGGTTAGTACTGAACGGTTTTCCTTTTCAGACTGTAAAATCATCTGCATAGCTTGCAAAGCAAAAAGTCTGTTTGCCATGAAAATTCAGAGCCAGAGCAACATATGTTTTCTAAAAGTGAAAGCCAAGATTTTCCTGGGTCTTTAAACTAGATTGTACCATTGTCACCAGAACTGGCAATCCCCTTTCTTCCTAAAGCCCCACTTTACAAAGCATGTATTCAGATAATCAGGGGTTTATCTGCAAGAGAACGCGGGTTTGCCAGTTCTGGCAGAACTAGCGAGATCCACCTTAAGTATCCAGTTGGATCCTGACCAAGATCCTGACTTCTTTAGCAACTACAACATATAAGAAATGCCTTTTGCTGCATATCAACACTCCATCGACCCATGTGAGTGGACCAATTTCCCTTGCTGTTTGTACAGAATATTAAAACAGCCTTGAGTTCTGCAAGAATGTTTGTGTGTGTGCATGTTTATGCATGCGCACATGCACTCTCTCTCTCTCTCTCTCTTTTGAAACCTTGGTTTTCCTGGCAAAGAAGAGTGAATCACTCCAGCATCCTTTTTTAATATCTACCAAGCGGATAGAACACACCCTCATTATAATGACCTCATTTGGCTTGTCTTCCGATGAATGTCTCTTTCACCCATCCCACTTCCTTTATAGTCTCCAGTTAGTTGGCTTTTGTTTAAATAGCTTGCTGTTTACTCTGTATCAAACACCTGAGCTTGGATTACTCCCACATCCCAATTTTGGCAAAGCCAGTGGAATTGTCCTCCAGTTCAAGCTGACGCACTTTTATATCCCATGATTGGAAATGGTTGTGGTAGTACATGCAATCCTTTCTCTGACTAGCAGACAGTCCCCCACTCCAACTTGTTATTTATTTAAGTTCAGTTGGGACCACTGCATATGGATGATACATGTCTGTGGCAACAGTTTACTCAATTATCATTTAACACAGCATCTTTGTCTGCTGTTGCTTTTCCCAACTGAGCAGACACTGGGGCCAGTTTATACAGGGAGCTGCCACATTCATGGGCTAGGCATCCATAAAAAGAGGTTTTAAGCTTCCAACTGCCAGTTATCTAATAAAGACATTTTCTAATTTAACAGTTTCCTGTGTATCTGTGTTATGTTTTTTCTGGGAACTGTGGGAATGGCAGCCAACAGCCTAAGTCATTTCCTGATTTCTTCCTTCTGGCGCAGATTAGACCTGCCATGACCAACAGTTCTTAAATCCTTTCACCACAGTAGCATTTTGCAGGAACTTTCCTTACCAATATTTTTGATCGCTTTGCAAAAACCAAACAAACAAAGCAGAAGTCAAAGAGCTCCATTACCTACAATTTAGAGCTGAGGCTGTTACGAACTGGACATAAGTAATCCCTGGTACAGGAAGGGAAGTTTCTCCTTTACTGGGTAGAAGGCAGAAGTGAAGAACACTCACCTCCAGTGGGAAAGTGCAAACACCCTGCAAAACTCTGGGTTCCCTTGTGTACCATCCTCACAATCTCCCAAATTTGGGTTTTAATTATTGGCTCCAAACATCTCCCAGTGTTTCTATGACTGTAATAATACTTTTGCTATGTATTGAGATTATTCCACCGGAGAACTGAAAATATTTTTGGCATTTGTTTTCAAATGTTGTTTTTTGGCAAGTAGGGGGTGCAATTAAACTTCCCCAATTAAACTTCCTTTTTTTAAAAAAAGAAAACCCTTTGGGAGTTGTTTGGAACCAGGTATGACCCTCTGACATCCAGGGATAGGCCTATGTGGGTCCTGGACCTCTAGACGTTTCTCACCCCAAATTCCATCTTTTAGCAGTATTCCAAGAGACTAACAGTGAAGCTTCTTTAGGCAGCTGTTTGGTTAACCTGAGAGATATTAGAATAAAATGGAGAAGATGCTACAGATCCCTAATCCCTCTCCCCACAAAACTGGCAGTACACTTTCCCCTTGAATTGTATGGGTCCGAGCAGCACAGCTGGTTCTACAGGGATTTTTTGAAACCAACCAACCAACCAACCAACCAACCAACCAACCAACCAACCAACCAACCAACCAACCAACCAACCAACCAACCAACCAACCAACCAACCAACCAACCAACCAACCAACCAACCAACCAACCAACCGTTAATAAATAAATATTTAGTAAATACTGTACTGGACTGCTGTTCATCTCCAGGCAGTGGCCTTGGACTTACCGAGGTCCCTGTTGTTGGTGTGTCAACCCTATTGGCTGTGGCCCAGCTGCCCCCCCCTTGGCCTGGCAGTTCTATGTGGTGGTCGGAGAGAGTGATGGGCATGATGAGAGGCTAATATGGGACAGAGGAGGTCTGTATGCATGTGTGTGTACATTAATCAATATATTAGTCAGCTTTGTAATTATGTTTTTGGGGGCATAAGAGTTACAAATGGATTTTGAACTACACGGTGGCCCAGCACCCCTAACCCTAACATTGTTGAAGTTCTTCAAATTGTTGTAAAATCCCTCCCTGGAGAAGGAACAACCACAACATCACACTACTATTAAAGACTCTCTTGCTTAGTGTCCTGCTCCTATCTATTATGTCTAGTTGAACATAGATGTATCTTGAAAGCTATAAAACATGTCTTTCCCAACTACATTGCACATTCTTGGTCGGAGGAGGGAGTTCAATATGGGACTATCATCTCCAGCTGCAGTCCAGTGTTCTTTTATACAGTGCAATCACAGAAGAATTTTGCCCTTAGCCACTGCTGGTTACCAGTTAAAATACCTTGGCTAGTACCGTATCTCAAGCCTCAAGCAGAACAGATCTAGTGAAACCACGGCTGAATGGTAACTCAGCACTTACATAAATTTATTTGAGTCAATAGGTCTACTCTAGCTAGGGTTAGCAGAATACTAGGCATTGTGTATAGTATTGTGAAGTTTACTGTGCACTGCAGCTAAATTAGATCTTTTCTTTAAAAAAAAAACACCACAGAACCTTCATTTCTCCCTCCTTTCCCAAAAAAGTCTATCTTGCATTGATTTATGGGCAAATAAAGCAATTCCTACTGCTCAGCTATCTGCTTCCCTTGGCACTTGCCAAGACACTATTTCAATTCTTCACTCCAAAATTTGAGAACATGGAAGCCCAGTTGCTCTTGGCAGCCGAAAGCCACTGCTCACCAGCCAGCTACACCTTTTATGGATAATTTCTTCTGCTGCTTTTTCTCTCTCTCACAGTACTATAACTGCAACAGTGGTTGCCAGGAAAGGTTCCCAGCCATAGCCAACCATATGTTGGCTGGACTCAACCCACCCTCAGTTTTTTGGGAGAGGCTTTGTATATTGAACTTGGGGTGTTTGAGGCTTTTCTGTTTTTAGCAGCATACTGAAAACACCCACTCTGGGCATGGTACCTGAGCCCAATTTTGACCTTTACTGCATTTAGCCTCCGGCTGTCTCCCAGCCCCTCCCTCTCCAAGCGGTCTGAACATGGAGGCTTTTAAAAAAAGGATCCCAATTCTTTCCTGACTAAGCCAACTGCCACCTGATGCATGAAGCTGACTGTATATGGAATTGGAAAAATTATTCTAGCCCTGCCTTTTGCAATCTAGCACTCAAAGCTGTGCTGGACAAAAAAATCCCATGTTTGGTGAACATTATAGAAAGCACATCTGGACCACATCAAGTCGGGGAAACTAGCTCAGTATTTTCTTCTCCAAGAGCCCAAGAAGACCCATCAGATGAGACATGGGAATAAACTCTTGGTTGATAGTTGTTGGGTTCTCTTTAAAAAAAAAAAAGCTGTAGGATATTCTGTTGAAAAAGGCATTATTTACTCCTTTTGTGCTCCTCCTGTTGATGTTGTTGTTTTAACTCAGAAAGCACCCCGTTCCCCTCTGTTTTTCCCTTCCCACAAAAAAAGATACTGGCATCTCATTTGCTGACAGATAGTAGCTGGCACCTGAAACGAGAAATTTTGAGTGGCCAGATTCC